AATATACTAACGTGTTTCACCAGTAAGCGGGCCACCCCAGTATGTGGGCCACCTCCCTAAACTATTATATCTTTGTAATAGTATTGCGCAACACCACCACAATATTTTTTATTAAGTAGAATAAGATATTATTCTTTAGACGCATTGCTATCCTCTATATCCTCTAATTCTACTTAACAAGTGCGAGAGTTGTGTCTAATTTAGCTGCAACGCCCGCAGCGCCGTTTACTACGCACCCTCTTCGCAGACGTTGCACCATCATTATAGCTACCACCCTCTACCTTAGCGATCTAATTAGCTATCTAGCTAACTATCTAGGACCCCTCTGCCTGTACGTAGCGCCTCTTACGAGTTTTTCGCTTTGTTACTTTAATAATCGTAGCTTTAAGGCGATTAAGTTTCTCCTGTATTAACACTATATTATAAGCTATCTACTAAGCTCTCTTACTTAACTGCTATATCTACTCCTTAAGAGAACTTGTAGGAGACCTTTGCTGGATTTGCATACAGTTTCGAATAAGCGTAGCCTGCGCCTCCATTTCGCGCGCGTTGCGCGGCGTTTTCGGCTCCTAAGCAGTAGTCTCTTGCACTATGTAGTGGAGTTGGCGTACGCAGCATGACGTTAAGCTGTGATAAAACAACGTTATAATCGTGCGGTGAAAGTCTAGCACCTTAGAACCCTCTGCGGATATTTTCTAGTGTAATAGCCTTATAATAGGCCTTTTTAAACGCTAGTAGGAAGGTTTCTTTGCTAATATAGTAGATGCGATTGCGTGCTAAGACTGAGATAGCATCACCATACGCGCGCTTTAACGGCGAGAAGCAGCCCACATCAAGAGGCTGTAAGAGGTGCGACGAGTGGGGAGGCATACAGAGGAGGATTATTGTTACACGGGGTTGGGCAATACTTCTCTGATCTCGGTCCGGGTTAGGGCGAGTAGACTTAAGCGGTAAGCCGTGCGATTGTTATATGGCGTTATCGTGGAAAAGAGTTATAGGATTTAACCGAAAGAGTAAACAATCAATTCTATACTAAGATAGAATAACTAGTATCAATCTGTGTAAGAGATGAACTATTCTGAGTTGACCACAACGAGAGTAAATAATGAAATCCATCCATCCTTATATCCTCATTGCTTCAGTCCTGGCATCTGGCCAAGCCACTGGCATCTCTGATGCAGTTGGCATCTCCAGATGTCCTGGCATCTCTCGAGGACCTGGCATCTCCAGATGTCTCCTCTTGGCGAGATGCCAAGTCACGTGACCCCAAGCGCCCCGCGCTGATCACTTCCCTAGCGTCCTTTGACACCTTTGTTTCCTTAGGTTGACTCCGCAACCCTTTCATGAAAACCTGTTAAGAGGAATCCTTCTTGTTTGTTCGTAACAATTATCTTCATCTCTTCGCAGAGATCTCGGAAATCCACCGAGCAGTGGCTCTCATGGCCGTCAATAATAAGCAGCCTATGCGTCCCCATAGGCCGCGCATGGGAATCAAAGTGACGAAGCTAGTCAAGCGCTAGATCGTTGTTCGTCTAGCTAGTAGGACTAACTTGGATCACCTAGTCGCGTGGCAGATCCTCCATGAACTAGGTAGAGATTAGAACCTTGCTAGCGAAGATAAGAAACGCTAGGATACGCGTGCCTGTTGCGCCAACGCCTTGTATTAGCGTAACCCACTCACGATTGCCTAGCTAGATCTTCTTTGTTCTCCCTAGTTTGTCTAAGCCTGTAATAACTAACTGTGATAAAATCTTGCCTATAATAAAGCTAGTCTTATTAAAGTTATAGATATCTTTGTCCATGATACTATACTTTGCCTTTATATTCTAAACTAGCTCAAACTAGCCCTTAATAAGCGCTAGGTCTTCGCAGAGAGCTCGCTGGTGATCGTATGGACGGCTCTAGCGCGTACGCAGCTCAGGATTGCGCTAGACAAACCTATCAACCCAGTTCTTGCCCACCTCCTTCCCGCCACGCTCTCGGAGCAGTCTGTTGGCCATATCTCGCACGTCGTCTTTCCCACAGGGTAGTCCTCGCTCAGCCTCGACTATTACACGCATAGTAATAGCCTCCTCTTCTAGTTTTGTTAGGCGCCTTGCTAGTGGCTCCTAATCGCTTCGAGGGCGCTGTCTAGCTCGTCGACGCTGGATTGTTGTTCGTGGGACGCTATAGGCGGCAGCAGCGCGTTGTTTACTCTAAATTTATTAAGAATTAAGATTAGTAATAGTAAGAAATAGATCTACTTTAGTATAAGTTTTTAACGCGTTGCGTTGTTGAGATATTACGCGTTGTTGTTGCAAATGTGGGATATCATAGGGAAGTGGCCCACATACTGGGGTGGCCCGCTTACTGGTGAAACACGTTATACTATATTTAAAAACTTTTTATATATCTAGAATTTCTATAACTAGTAGAAAATATTTTTAATTGTTTTTATAATATTAATAACTTTTTTTATTACGTAGTAACTATAGCTAGAAATTTCTAAACTATAAGATCTTTATAACGTGGTTCATAAGCGAGTCGGCCACCCAAGCAAGTCGGCCACTTTGTACTGTCGCGTTAACTTCAACACGTTATTATAGTCTTTTATCACAGTTAATAAACTATTACAATATACTAAATTAATTATTAGAATCACTACTATTACTTGCACTATCTATCTTAACTATGCAGGTACGAGCGTTGTGTCTAGTCTGCTTACAACGCCCGCACCGCCGCTCTCCTCGCACCCTCTTCGACGCACTCTCACTATCACCACGACTACTACCCGCCTGTTCAGCTAATACTTCTTGTACTTCGCCTATAGTAAGAGTCTCTTCTATCTGTACGTATCGCCGCTTGCGGTTCTTACGCTTATTTGCTGTGTCTAGAGCCTCTTGAAGAGCAGCTACTTCCTCCCTTATAAGCGTTATCTTATGTGCTATTTGCTAAGCCCCTTTACTTAGCTGTACAACCTTCTCGTTAAGAGAATTTGTAGAAGACCTAGGGCGGTTTCTTACTCTGTTAAATAAGAGTACTTTAAGCCTCAACCTCGCGCGCGTTGCGTGGTGTCTGCGCCTCCCAGGCGGCTGCCTGTCGCGGTGATTGTACTAGCGTCTGCACCACCACATCAAGCTTAGATAGCACAGCCTGTGGGTCGTGTGGGACTAGTCCAGCGCCTCTAAAGCTAGCTTGGATATTCTCCTTCGTGATAGACTGCTCAAAAGCAGCCTTAAAGGCTGGTAGGAAGGTCTCCTTGCTAATATAGTAGGTGCGGTTACGTGCTAAGCCTGAAACAGCGTCGCCATACTTACGCTTCAACAGCGAGAAGCAGGCGACGTTAAGGGGCTGCAATAGGTGAGACGAGTGTGGAGGCATGCAGAGAAGAATAATATTCTTCTCCTTGCAAAGATCTTAAAAATCGATAGAGCAGTGGCTCTCATGGCCGTTAATAATAAGCAGTTGATACCCACCTACAGTATGCCTCTTTGTATGGGTATCAAAGTGCTCTAACCAGGCAAGACTAAGCTAATTATTCGTCTAGCCATTAGGACTAACTTCAAGAACCTAGTTAGCAGGCAAATCCTCAAACTAGACGTTGATAAGCACCTTGCCTGCAAAGACAACAAAGGGTGGTATTTAGCAACCTAACGCGCCTACGCCTTAGATTACAGTAACCCACTTATAGTTGCCTAGCTATACCCGCTTCTTTTTCCTATATCCTTCTAAGCCTGTGATAACTAACTGTAATAAAATCTTGCCTATTATAAACCTAGTTTCGTTAAAGTTGTAGATATTATCGTCCACAATACCCCACTTCTGCTTTGTCGCCTGGACTAAGTCAAACCAGCGCTAGATAGCCACTAGATCCTTGCAGGCGGCTTGCTAGTGATTATAGGGACGGCTCCAGCGCGTACGGAGCTCAGGAGTCCGCTTAACAAAGTTGTTAACCTAGTTCTTGCCAACAGGGTTGCCACTACGCTCCTCTAACAGTTTATTAGCCATTGCTCGAACCTCAGCCTTTATAGGGGCAAATCCTCGCGTAGACTCTTTAAGAATACGCCTAACAATAGCCTCCTCTTCTAGCTTATTTAGGCGCTTTGAATTCGGTTCGCAGTCGCGTCGAAAGCGCTTTCCAGCGCGTTGGTCTTGGAGAGTAGTTTGAGGCACGTTATAGATAGAAGCAGCACGTCTTTGGCTTTAAACACGTTGCGATTAGACGTTAAAAAGAGCAAGTTGAAGATTAGATTTAGAATAGATTAACAAATAATTGTGTGGTTAAGACATAACGCGTTATAGTGTTAACGTCGACGCGCCGGTACAAAGTGGCCGACTCGCTTGGGTGGCCGACTCGCTTATGAACCACGTTATAGTTAAAAATATATACTTTAACTAAGTCTTGATATATACTAAAAGCTATTTTATTATTTATATATATTATATAGATTTTCTTTTTTTATATTTTTATATATATATCTATATCTAGCTACTTACTAAGTAAAAAGTAGGTCTACTACGCTAAACTACTAAACTCCAGCTTCTTAAGTTACTACTTTACTTATTTTTAGCTATTTTATTAGCTAAAATATATTAGATTAGAAATCAGCGTTTTTTTTATTATGTTTTTTTACTGTTACCCCTCTGTATAATGTAATGCGGTCCTAAGTACCCGTGAAACCCGCTGCTGTGCCAGCACGTCGAAATGACGCATAAAACAAATGTAATCCTGGAAGAGAGAAAAAGAAAAACCCCCAGAGTTTTCGTGTCGAGGGAAAACAGAAGAAGAAAAACACACACATACACACACACACACACCCAGAGAGAGAGAGAGAGAGAAGTATTTTTGACATGAAAAATCGTGTTTTGAATATTCATTAATCATATGCATAAACAACTTTGAACATGTTACAAGTCTAAGTAGTCTATACTTGAACCAAGTTAAAAAAAAGCAGCACCACGTTATATACATGCCGCCCTCCATCTCCATCTTCTTCTTCTTCTCCATCTCCCGCGCAAATTCAAACCCTCCACCCCGTCTTCTGCTGTCTAACGGTACAAAACCACAGCAGCAACAAGCAGCAAGAGCCCGTAATCAAGCAGAGGCCACTCCATATCTGGACGCCGTTGAAATCCGTGGCTCCGTTTGTGCGCTTGAGCAGGGCGCCGGCAATCGGGGCGCCGATCAGCGAGGCGATGCTGCTGCCGCCCCACGACATGCCGATGCGCGTGCCGAGGCGCGAGTGGTCGGGCGTGATGTTTGCGAAGGCAGCCGTGGGCACGGTGACGAGGCCTGCGGAGAAGAAACCTAGGGGTGTTTTGTTAGTATGCAGGGGGATGAGGTGGTAGTGGGGGGGGGGGGGGA